GTGGAAGCAGTGTAGTGTTGTGTGTGTGAGTTCAACCATCTAATGCACCAGATTGAAAATGGCACTTCAGGGAAGGGGGGGGGCCTTATGATTATTAGAGGCCAAGGGGGGGTCCTCACAATATCTGCCACAATAAGAGTCCCCCTACCCGTTCAAGAGTCCCGGGGGACCTTCTTACCGGCGGGTCTTCTAGCCGGAACTATACGGTATGCTTTGTCCTATGCTCCAGTCTGTGCTCCTGACACAAGGCAAGGGCTGCCTTGTTGTCGCCGTACAGAACTGGAGGAGAACGCGGCTGCTCTCCCAAGTCAGTCAGCAGGTAAGTGAGCCAGCGTAGCTCCTGGGCTGCCATGGCTGTGGCGTAGATCTCAGCCTCACAACTGGAGCTGAGAACAGAAGACGAACGGGTAGACCGCCAAGAGACAGAACCAGAACCAAGGCTGAAGGTGTAACCCTGTGACGACTGCTGCGTAGCCAGGTCGTCAACCCAAGAGGCGTCTGAGTGTCCAGTGAGGACAACGTCACCCCGTCCTTGAAGCACCAGCCCCATGCCTGATGTACTGCACAAGTAGCGCAGCACCCTCTTAGCAGCCTCCCAGTGCTCTCGCCTGTGCCTCCCAGGCGCAACGTAGCGAGCCAGGATGCTAAGAGGGTACGCAAGGTCAGGTCGTGTGCAAGTCATCAGGTACATGAGGCAGCCCACAAGCTCTGGGTACGGGCCACTCGGCTCTACGGACTCGTCCGAAGGTGGAGCTGAGAGCGAGTGACTGGTAGACAGAGGAGTGGACTGTGGTGAGGAGAACTGGAAGCCGAAGCGCTGAAGGACGTGCTGCACCATGTGTGACTAAGTCAAGGTGATGGTGCGGCGTGCTCTGTCCCAGGTGATCTGCAAGCCAAGGTAGCTGCGCAGCTCACCCAGGTCTGTGCACGTGCGTCTCTTCTGCAGCTCCGACTTCACAAGAGCAAGTGCCTCAGTGTCAGCAGTAGCAAAGACCAGGTCGTCGACGTACACGAGGATGTAGAACGACGGCAGCGACGTGTCGGTGCGGAGGAACAGCGACGGGTCTGCAGTCGAAGGAGCAAACCCAAGAGCCGCAAGTGTCGTCCTCAATGTGTCGTGCCACTCACGAGGTGCCTGGCGGAGACCGTAGATTGGCCGCCGGAGGCTCCACTGGGTACTAGGAGGGAACGACCCAGTGAAGCCAGGAGGGCGGCGCAGCCAGATCTCCTCGTGCAGGCTGCCCTGCAGGAACGCTGTGCTGAAGTGAAGAGAGTGAAGCTCGTAGTCACGCTGAGCGGCAATGTGCAGCAGCACCCGAAGAGTGGTCATCTTCGGGGTGGGGGAGAAGGTCTGGAAGAAGTCAACTCCCTCTCGCTGACTGAAGCCTCGTGCAACGTAACGAGCCTTGAAGACAGGCGGAGAACCCGGCGGCCGCTTCACCCTGAAAATCCACATGCCATCGACAATGTTCGCCCCAGGAGGGGGAACCTCGTCGATGTAGGTGCCTGTGGACTTCCAGGATGCCATCTCTGCGTCCATGGCTGTCTGCCACTGAAAGGGGTACGGACCCGAGATCGCCTCTGCGTAAGAGCACGGGGTCGGGATGTCTGGTGCATCCAGGTCTCCCTCAGGGGCAAGCAGCCAGGCCACGAGATGAGGTACAGCAGCCGCAAGACAGTCGAGCTCCTCCTGCCTGTCCTCAAGGACGTCCGTGCCAAGAGCACACTCACCCTCGACGGACGGAGGACAGACAGACTCAGACTCAGCAACAAGACTGGCAGCGTAGTCAAGTCGACACACAACAGCAAAGTCAACAAGCTCAGCAACCAAGGCAGACGCAGCAGCAGACTCAAACGACGGGTCAGTGACAATAGTAGCCAGAAGACGCGTGACGATGGGACTAGCAGCACGAACAGCGTCAGACTCAGGGTCAGGAAGCTCAGGAAGAGAGGACGCAGGAGGAGACTGCAGTGGGACGCGCAGGGGAGCAGAGGAGGGACGAAGTGCCACGGTGTGAGTGCCCGACACAGGAGGAGGTGGCGGACGCGGGACACGGCGAGCAGTGCGAGCGGCGCGAACAGGCGAGGCAGGATGAGACGCAGGCTCACGACGCTCTGTAAGCGAGTCTGTCTGCTCAGTGTAAGGAGAAGGAGCAGGCAGCGGAGAGCCAGGCGGTAGCGGAAAACCAATAGAAGATGGGAGGTAAGAACCTGACGAAGCACGGAGTCAGGCGGTGGGAGAGACAATGGCGACGGCGGAGTGAAGAACAGACGCCGCTGCGCAGCACCACCAGCAGCAGCACCTCTAGAACTAGCGTCACCAGCTCCAACTCCTCCCGCCCCAGAGGCTCCAGCACCAGGAACTCCAGCGTCAGCACCTCCAGCACCAGGACCTCCAGTCCCAGTGTCTCCAGCTCCAGCGTCTCCAGCGGCAGGGCAGACGGCTCCAGTAGCCCCAGGACCAGCACCACCAGCCCCAGCAGCTCCAGCACCTTCAGTACAAGCACCTCCGGGACCAACAGCACCAGGGGCTCCTCCAGCACCAGCAGCGTCAGTAGGTCCAGCAGTCCCAGCACCTCCAGCCCCAGAAGCGGTACCACCAGCAGTGCCTGCAGCTCCAGCAGCTCCAGTGGCCGAGCCCCCAGCACCAGCAGCGCCACGCGAACGGCAGTAGCGTCGAGTGTACCACTCACGCAGCTGCTGCGGGGAGAGAGGCTCCTGCCGACCAGACCCAGGCTCAGCACCCCCAGGCTCAGCACCCCCAGGCTCCTCACGCTCAGGCACAGCACCCCCAGGCTCAGCAGCTCCAGGCTCCTCACGTTCAGGTTCAGCACCCCCAGGCTCAGCACCTCCAGGCTCCTCACGCTCAGGCTCAGCACCCCCAGGCTCCACGCGCTCAGGCTCAGCACCCCCAGGCTCCGCACCCGCAGGCTCAGCACCCTCAGGCCCCGCACCCGCAGGCTCAGCATCCCCAGACTCGGGACCCCTAGCAGTACCTCCTCTAGCAGCACCAGAGTCACCAGTGACCTCGACAGGCTCAACCAGGGGAGGGGGGTCTACCTGGGAAACACCTGAGGGAGCAGGACCCTGAGGGGGGAGGGGGTCTACCGGGGGCGGACCTGGAGCGACGAAGAGCGGCGGGGGGGGGGGAGAGAGGCAGTGCGGTAGGGGAAGAGACGGTAAAAGGGAACCGACTCGTCAAACGTGACGTCCTGAGAGGACAGAACACGGCGCGAGGTGGGGTGGTAAAACTGCCAGCCAGGCGCGTCAGTAGGGAAGCCAAGGAAGACGCAGGGAATGGCGCGAGCGGAGAGCTTGTCCGCGGTGGTATCGCGGACAAAGGCACGAGCACCCCACACCTGGAAGCGCGACGCATCGCCAACCTTCCCCGTCCAACGCAGTGTGGGCGAGGTCTCCGACAAGGAGACACGGGGCCAGAGGTTGAGCTGATGCGCAGCGTACCGGACCGCAAACGACCACAGAAAGTGGGGAGCAGCCGCATGGATCATGGAGGTGCGAGCGATCTCCATGACTAGGCCAATGCGGCGCTCAGCAACCTCATTCTGCTGTGGAGAGGCCGGAAGCGTGAACGACTGGAGGATGCCCTCCCCCTGACAAAAGTCCCGCAAGAGGTCGGAGGAAAACTCACCACCTCTGTCAGAGTGCAGACGTAGGACGGGAAAGTCCGTCTGGAAACGGTCGCGGAGCTGGAGACGGACAGCGCGGATCCAAGGGATCAAGACAGCAGGGACTTCACCCTTGCTGCGCATGGGGAAGACCGTGGTGTACCGTGAGTAGTCGTCAACAATTGGCAGAAAGTACTGCTCGCGGCCCTGTCCCCGGACGCGGGCTGGGCCCCACACATCCATGTGGAGAGTCTGCAGGGGAGCGTCTGTCGGAGGAAACGAGGAGGAGTGAGGAGCGGCGCGCTGCCGCCCCTCGACACAAGGGAGACACGGCGGGGCAGGCGAGCATGGGAGTGACGGCAGCGACTGGGGAAGACCAGAGACAAGCAGACGGGAGTGCATGCCACGGAGGCGCGGCAGAGAGGGGTGACCGAGGCGGTGGTGCCAGAGGAGAGTCTGGTGCGACAGGCGACGACACAAGCAAGGGGCAGACTCCGGTCCGGACAAGGACACCTGACCAGTAGCAGCAACCTGGGGAGACCCGACAGTCAGGGTGTACAGACTCGACCCAGGCCGACGGGTGAACGTGGCCAGGTGGCGGCCCGTGCGGGCACACGTGCAGATCGCCACACGACGTCCTCCAGGGGTGAAGGTGTCAACCCACTCATCCTGGATGACGGCGTTACTCACCAGGTTCGTAGAGAACGAGGGGAGGTGGAGACCTGTAAGTGAGCCAGACGGGACCGCCGGACAGGGGAGGACAGTGGAGAAACGTGCAAGGAGAGGTCCCCCGGAGGGGTCAGCAAGGGAGACCGGAACAGGTGCAGAGAGCGGTGTGACTGTGGTGCTGTCGCGGAAGAAGCAGCGGGAGGCACCTGAGTCTAGCGTGAAAGTGTACAAGGCCTTTGTAGGCGCAACACCTGAGTGAGCAGACTCACTAGTACCTAGAGCAGCAGACTCGCAAGCACCCAGGGCAACAGACTCACAAGCACCTGGAGCAGCAGCCTCTATACCAGGGTCTGGCGGAACACACAGGTAACAGTCACCCTCAGCACTAACAGTCAACGCATTCATGGCAGCAAGGATAGCATCATAGTCAAGATCAAAGTTCTTTACTCCCCTCCTAAGCAGCTTAGTCCAGTTGGGCATCTCAGAGCAGTCAGGAAACTGAGCACGCCAGGCGTCACTAAGGCGGGAAAAGCAGCGGTGCTGGGTGTGCAACCTCCCGCAGGTCTGACCAGCACGCTCACCCGTACGAATGACATACGGGCAGGTACCACCACCCCCAGGCGACTGACGCTGCGCGTACCACTCACGAAGGTCCTGCGGCGTACGGGGCAGGCGCTGGCGCTGCTGCTGCTGTGCCTGGCTGCCTCAAGAATCGTAGTGCTGGGCCGCACCACTGCGACCACCGCCACCGACTCCGCTGCCACTCCCACCGCCGCCACCTCCGCCACTGCCACCCCCACTGCCGCCGCCACCACCGACCCCAACACCCCCACCCCCACCCCCGCCGCTCCAACCACCCCCGCCGCCACCACCCGAGCCTCCACCACCGCCTCCACCCCCACCACCCCCACCACCCTTGCCGCCCTTCCCCTTGCCGCTGCGGCGCCTGCCACTGGAAGCAGACGCAGCCCCAACCTCCTCAGCACCAAGGAGGTCGACAGCAGCAGCAGTGGCGACAGAGGGGAGGAGGGGAGAGGGGGAACACCCCTCGAAGAAGGGGGTGCGAGGAGTGCCTCGAGAAGCGCCCACAGCAGCGTTAATGCTAACCTCGGCCGCTGTAAGGTGCTTTTCGAGGAGGTCTATAGTGAGCTCAGTGGGGTCCATGGCGAGGAAGGTGTCTTGACAGCGCGAAGAGAGTCAGGGAGGCGAGTGACTAGGAGATAGAGGGTGTAGTGGATAGGGGGAGGGTTCTTGGTGAGGAAGTCGGCAGGGGTCGCAACACGCACCCGAGCGTCGCTAGTGCGGAGGTGGGTGATGAGATCAGCGACTGTAGGAAAGGCGGACAGGTCAGGAAAGAGGTAGGGCAGGATAAGACGGCCTAGCGCAGCAGTGGCAGGCGAGCTGTAGCGAGCTACGACTGCGTCGAACAGGCCCTTGGCGGTTTTTTGTTGGCTAAAGTGCACGCGCTCGGCTAGCGGTAGGTGGTTTCGCACAGCTAGGCGAGCAGCAGCGTCGCGAATAAGCCACTGGTCACGAGTGTCAGCGTCAGCAGTGTCTGCAGGGATGGCAGCGCTACCAGACGTATGAGCGAACAGGGACACACGATCCTTAGACTCGCACTGAAGGTAGAGCCTAAGGTCGTCTAACCAGGTTTCAAATTCGATCGGGCGGCCCTCTGCGTCAAAGGTGAGAACATTGTAAGTCGCCATCGTTGGTAGCGCAGGGCAAGCGGCAGGATGCGTGCACAGGGCAGCAGGAGGCAGCGCTCACTGGGTTAGGGGCGGCCGGCAGGGGAGGAAGCGGCTGCGGGCCGCGCACGGGTAGGGCAAGGTGGCGCGGCGGCGGGCTGCGCACGGGCAGGGCAGGGAGGCGCGGCGGCTGGCTGCGCACGGGCAGGGCAGGTGGCGTGGCTGCGGGCTGCGCACGGGCAGGGTAGGGTGGCGCGGCGGCTGGCTGCGCACGCGCAGGGCAGGGAGGCGCGGCGGCTGGCTGCGCACGGGCAGGGCAGGGAGGCGCGGCGGCTGGCTGCGCACGGGCAGGGCAGGGAGGCGCGACGGCTGGCTGCGCACGGGCAGGGCAGGTGGTGCGGCTGCGGGCTGCGCACGGGCAGGGTAGGGTGGCGCGGCGGCTGGCTACCCACAGGCAGGGCAGGTGGCGCGGCGGAGGGCTGCGCACGGGCAGGGTAGGGTGGCGCGGCGGTTGGCTGCGCACGGGCAGGTCAGGTGGCGCGGCGGCGGGCTGCGCACAGGCAGGACAGTGCGCGGCGGCGGGCGGCGCACGGGCAGGGCAGGCGCGCGGGCGGCGGGGCGATGCGACAGCAGCGCGACGCGGCCAGCAGGGCGCGCGGGGTGGGGCAGGCAGAGCAGCGCGATAAAAATTTCGCGCTGCAGTAGTGGCGCGCGGCTAACAGGGGCAGCGCGACTCGGGGTAAGGCAGTGGGGTAACGCCGTAACAGGTGGGCCCGATGAAGAAACTTAGGTCCTAAGGACCCATAGCTCTTAATACCATGTCAGAATAATAGACTAGAATGGATCAACTAAGACAAGAATGTGATACAAGTATGAAACCCTAAAGGGGTTGTACCCCTTAGTGGCTACCCCACTGTAGCCTACAACATGCAAACATCAAATATAGTTTAACACACAGGATGTTTTTATCTGTAAAGACCTGAACATTCAGGATGGCCGTAGTGTTCTTCCCTGTAGCGTCAGGATGAATGTCGATGCCTGCCCTGATGCGTTTGTTTGGGGGGGGGGGGGGGGGGGGGGGGGTGGTCCCGTTTCGGCGGGATTTTTTCCCCCGGGGATTTTTGTCTCCGTTGAAATTTTCCCACGTGTATGTTTCCCGCCTTCGCACGATCTCTTCCCCTTGACAGTTCTGTTCCGATCCCCCGCAAACCTATCACCCACCACCAAGGCAACTCGTCCTGTGCCAGGCTAGCACTAGCTGGGTCTCTCTCGCAAGCATTCAGCACTCCATCCAACACCCTTGCAGTGTTGCTGTTAGAGTAGCAGCAGCACCAGTAGTGAAGCTCGGCTGGTTGATGGCAAACGAAGACGATTGCGCGGCGCCAGTATCACGGGTTCTAACCGGATTAGATTTCTTGCGTCCGGTTAGAGTTGTGTCCACCTTACCAACAGGTTCACCTGCAGCTGGTTCATCTCAAACTCCCGCAGTCACACCCGCCTATGCTAGTACGAACGGCACCAACGTTGTACCACCTGGTGCGACATGCATCGGCCCTGCCGCTACTGCTAAGTTAAGAGCGACCAAGCACAAATAGTCGCGCTTGTCGTTCTCTCGCGATAGTCCCACGGAACCCACCGCTCGTGTCCGCTTAGCGCCAACTTTACCAGGACCATCGGCCGTTCCTGCAGCAACTTCGTCCACCGAGGAACTGCGCGATGAGGCAGAGGATAAATACCAGCAGGCGCTTATGAAGTACAAACAAGAATGGGCAACTGATTTCCCGTGGCTCGTGCTTTGTCAAACCTCTTTCGGTTTCCCATCAGTGAGGTGCACTTTGTGTATCAAGCACGCAGGACACGACACAAACTACGGCGTTGCTGGCGAAGGTGCCGTCGATGTCCAAACCTAGGCATTCCGCACGCATCAAAGCTCCAGGAAGCACAAACGGTCCGTCAAGAGACAGGCCCAGGCGGACAAGGCGGCTGAGAAGTAGCAGCGCATCATCGACTGCCCAAAGGCTGGAGACATCCAGCGTGTAAGGGTCATCGCTGTGCTAGAGACCTTGCTGTTTACATGCAAATGTGACGCACCGATTGAGATGTGGGTTCAACTAGTTCGGCACCTTGCAGAGCGACAGACACCAGGCTTCCCCAAGAATGGCTACGGTGCTTATTACACCAGGTGAGCCGTTATTCAACAGTAGCTGCTATACTCGGAAACTTAGTACAGAGGTTGCTCACAACTATCCACTGTTGCTAACCCTCAGTACCTTCTTTTCTTGGATGCAGATATGGGTTTGCCGAGCTCATCGCAAGCACTGCAGCATATCTCCGTGCTTGTCAGCAAGTCTGGTTGCAGTCTAGTCCATTCATCGGACTAACCTGTGACGAGAGTACATATCGTGTGCATGGCAAACACCAGATCGTGTTTGCCACGTTTCTCCGTGACTCTCGTGTAGTCACGGAGTTCATCGGTCTACTGACGGTGGAGAAATGCGATGGCGCTTCCTTGCTTTCCCTGTCGCTGACCCTCCTTGACTCTCTTGGAATCGACATGAGCAGGGTGCCGGGATTAGCACGGATGGCGCAGGTGCGATGATGGGTAGCACAAACGGCCTGGTGGCTCGGCTGCGTGTAATGGTCCCGCACCTCTTCTCCAGCCATTGTGTTGCACATCGGTGAGTAATACTTATTGCTTGTGTGGGTTGCATCTAGATGCCCATCACGTTGCGCAGAAAGTGTAAGGCAGGCAGGCGCTCACATGATCTAAAGCTCATGCCATTCCCCACCCATTCTGTTTTCCCCATACTTTCCTCTCCCCCCTCCTCCCTCCCTCCCCGCTCCAGACATGACGGTGATCTGCTCCATAGTCTCCTTGTGGACGGGCAGCAACGGCCCGCAAAAACAGTCGATGCAACTCCTTTGTACTTAAACCAAACCTCCCCTTCTCTCGTGCCCACATCATGTCGTGCAGAGAGGCGCTGGCCGCAAAGGACGCCGCCACTGCAGTCCCTGAGCTAGGCCTAATCGACTATGTACTGAAGGAACTCGCGGGATACCTGGGAAGGTCACAGCCCTCTCACAACAAGTTCCAAGAGCTGCAGGAGGTGTTCTGCAAGACAAACTTTGAACTGCAGGGGATTCACTCAGTCCGTTGGCTGATCCGCGGCGATGCCATCACGCGCTTGGTGCGTGTGCTCCCTGCCGTCATCGTGCTCCTCTGGGAGTGGGATGACGACTTATACCACATTGTAACTTCAGTGAAGTTCAATGTGTATCTGTATTACCTCGCCGACATGTTCAACATCCTCAACAGCCTCAACCTGGAGTTTCAGAAGCGGGAGGTGAGTAGCCTCTGTAAGGCCGAAACCCTTAGCACGGGGGTTTGTACGGTCCTTGTTGAAACTGTTCCTTGTCATGTTGCAGGTCGACATGACATCGGTGCAGTCGACCGTGCGCCGCACCCTGATCACCATCCGTACGCGCTACATTGAGTGCGGCGATGACTTCGGTGGCGGCCCACAGCTACATCTCGAGGCCTTCCTAGCCAGGCTCAGTGAGTCTCGGAAAATCACTGTGGCAGGTGTGGACAAGGAGGGGGAGAAGCGACAACATACCTTTGAGCTGCACGAGGAGGTATTGACGGGCTACAGCAAGACACTGGATGACTTGCAGTCGTGCCTCGATGTCTGCCGCCGCCACGCCAAGTCGACGCTTACCCACCTCTAGAATAGGCTGGGGGATCTCGAAAGCCTGAACGGTGTCCGGCTTTTTATGCTAGACACCTACCCTGAAGACAAGGAGGGACGCGCTGAGGAGTGCCTCGAGCACTTCGAGACTCTCGTCGACTTGTTCCATGCCCGCGAGCGAGCAGACATTCTCCCGGGTAAGCACAAGCTCCTATGCCTTAACCCATTCTGTCCTATGCCCACACTCTGCCTTGGTATGTCCCTGTATTGTGTATAACCAGCAATCTGACTTTTTCTGTCCCTGCTCTGTGCATCACCACGAAACTCCGTTTCTGTACCTTCTCTGTGCATAACCAGAAAATTCCTTGTTCTGTCACTGTTATGTGTGTAATGCGTGGCAGGTGTGGACAAGTGTGCTGCCAAGAAGGAACTGAGGACATTCGTCCCTGTCCTTGCTGGCGCTCCCCGAGGCGAGCGCACCTTTCAACGCGGACTGGCGGCCATGCTGCGAACGAAGGACTGGGAGCGGAGCTACCCCAACCTAGTCCGCCTCTGGACAGCGGTGGCTGTCCTGCCACTCAGCACCGTCGAGTGTGAGCGCGGCTTTAGCCGCCAGAACGTGATTAAGTCCTGGCAGAGGACAAGCCTCTGTGATGTCAGGCTCAGTGACGTGATGTGCCTGAGCCTGGTTGAGTATGACATGGAATGGGGGAAAGTTGTGGATTTGTGGCGCAGCAGCAAGAAGAGGAGGCCTATAAAGAGAAGGGAGAAGCAGGGGAAGGCGGGGAAGGGGAATGTGTTGGAGGACGGGCAAGAAGCAGATTCTGAACATGGCAGCAGCAGCAGCGGTGACAGTGGGTTTATTAGCAGCAGCGATGATGAGGTGGGAGAGGGGTAAGAGGTGGTGTAGGAGTTAATTGAGTAGTAAAACACCGACTATATGTGTGTGCTGCTCTGCTCTGCTCTGCTGCTCTGCTCAGCAGAGTCTGGTCTGGTCTGTCTGTGTGCTACTAAAATCTGAACCCTAAACACTGTTTTTTTTGCCCTGACAGGTCAGGATTAGTTTTTGCACATGCCTTGAACATACAAGAAGGCTTTGAGAATTTGCCCTGACAAATCAGGGCATTTTTTAAGATTCTAGAAAAGTGCCCTAAGGCCTCAGGGTCCCCCAAAATCTAGCACGGGCCCTGGAAGTAATACCTAATATTTGGTTACTGGGACTTGTCGACGTACCGAACACATATGTTATGAGTTGTAAAGGAGAGTGCGCAGAATAACAAATAGCGAGACTGTGATTGAACGAACTGACAATACAATGAATGGCAGAGATCC